AGGGATTTCTTCATCAGCTGAAAGGACCTATTTCCTCTGCCCCTCTCCTCCCTCCCCACCTCTTCTTTATTTGGGAGAAGGCTTTACAGGCCAGGTGTGTCTGGACCGGAAAGATTAATCTACTGTGATATTAAAAACAGATAGCTCAGTAGATGTCTCTGTATCGTGGGAGTAGATTTTAAATTAATAATAAGTAAATTAAAACTGCATCTGCTCTGTAAATGTATTCTGTCTGTTGAATAGGCTTAAAGCTGTCTGCGTCACTGCATCGATTTATGAAGTAAAGTTGAAATACAAATATCTAAACATGGATTTCAGAGATACCGTCTCAGCCTGATCTTTGAAGCACACAAGTAATTTGAAATGTTCTGGTAGAAGGAGTTATGTAAGTGGCACGCCATTACAGTGTGCGTGGTGTAAAATTAAACCCATAAGCATCTAATAGACTCATTAAAAGAGTTTGATTATTGTTTTAATGTCATTATTCAGGTTTTTCTCATCCTAGAATTTTTATCTGTCTGAGAGAAAAAAAGAATTTTGCAGTATAAGTTAAAATCGATACTTGAGTGTTCTGCAGTTTTCTAAGTTTTTTATGTTCCAGCAACATTTCAGCAATTCAGCTACTTGCCAGGTGATAAGGTCTCTTTTCACAGGCAGACCCATTTAAAGGCTTTTTCCTTCCTGGCACAGGGAAGTTCTCAGGGGAGCAGCACTTGCTACCTGGGCAATGTGCAAAGCCTGGCCTTGCTATTCTGACAAACTGAGCCACAGCCTACAATGCAATTTCTTTTACCAGTGTCTTCATTTAGTGCTTTTCTTTGAAATTATCGCCACCATTGTGCTATTGTCTCCAGTACAACTGAAACACTGATAATTGTAGCAGATTTGTGTTCCAATACCACATAAGCCTCCTTAGCACCTTCATTGTGACTAAAAATACTAGCAGACAGACTGTATTTGAAAACATCTCCACTGTCTGCCAAAATCTCCTGAGCTTAAAGGAAAAGTAAAAACTACTCAAGACCTTTAGCACTATAGTTGTATAGCAATTGGAGTCTCAACCACCTGTAAAGATTTAAAGAAACAACAGCAAAACCTCAGCCATGTGGTAAGCAGTTCTGTGATCAGTATATGGTGTAGCTAAATGCGTTGATGCTTTATGCAGAATTGTGGCTTTTTTTTAGGCTAAAAGGAAACCCAGGTAACCCTCTTCTGCTGAGGGATATCCTGTACGATATAACAAGGAGAATATTTCATAGATGGAGATCCTTCTTGAACAATCACTGTGGTCTCTCCTGAGACTGCAGTGAAGTATGTCCACAGTTGCAGGGCAGAGCAAAGGGTGCTTGATGGAGACTGAGCCTATGTTATTTAAAGCTTTATGGCTGGTACTTCTCCCTGGTTTGCATGGAGGTGAATACATAATGTTTCTAGAGGCCAGATCATTATGTACATACTTATTTATTCTTTGAAATAATTACATTGAAACACCCTACAGTCCATAAAGACCCAGAAATTAATTGTACATGTGACATGCTCAAGTACTGTTTTGCTATTGTATTCTGCAGCAAGTAACTTTGTTTGACATAGAGATGAGGCAAAAGGACGGTCAATGATTATGCCTTTTATTATTATTAGTAGTGTGTTAATAGTAGTATCTCACAGCAATTTATAAGTCAGTAAAAGAATCAGAGAAGATAGATGAAGTGACTTCACTGAGGTCATTCAGGAAGCAAGAAATTGAGAACAGCATTGAAAATGCTTTTTCTTTGCTGTTATTGCTGTATAGTCTTCTCTGTGTGGTAAAAGGAATTAATGCTCAGTCCTGTGCTATCTCATCCTTGACTTTCACTAAATTTCACTACTTCAGTTTGTAACAGATACATACCCCAAAGGAAAGGTATGAAGGGGAGAAAATTCTAGAGTGAATTAGTGTGGGCAGCCAGCAAAACAAGTAGATCATTGCTGTGGCACACCCTGGAAGTATTCCCTGTTGAGCTTCCTGGCCTTTGAAGTGCTTCAGAGTTGGGGGCCCTGTGGGAAATAAACAGAGCTTGTACATACTCCTGTGCGTGCTTCTCATGAGCCTAAAGGAAAAAACAGAGCATGTTGCAGACATCTCAGTCTTCTATTGAAGTCTTTGTTTCATTAAAATTTTATTAGGAACTTTTAGATTGATTCCTAGCTTGAATCATTAATTCGTAGCTAATAACTGTGGAGCTCAGTTCACAAATAATCCACATTTTATTATTTGTAAGGTATACAGAAACTTTTCTGTGTAATGGTTTCTTTTACTGGTCCTGTTCAAAACCTCTGGCATCCTGCAGCTGGGTGCTATAGTGGTTGCAACATATGGAAAGGAAATACATCTTCCATTTAATGCTGAACACATACTGAAAAATTTGGGTAGTCATACAAGATCAAAAGGAGTGAATGCAGAGAGAGACACATGACTTTCCTGAGACAACTGAGTTATAAAGCAGCAAAGATGTGTTGTCTAAATATTCCCTGTTTTTCCACTGTAAGAGGCATTAGTTGAAACACTTGCATAAGTGAGGGAACTCTACGTTTTTGTGTAAGGCTGTTTGTTGCATGTAGAAAGCTTAAAGGCTTTTTAACAAAGCCAATCAAAAGCATATCTAATGTTAAATCAGTGATTGATAAAAAAATGTTGACTTTGCTGATAGGATTTGCTATAGTTGCATTTTTATTTAGTAATGAAAATTTCATTGCTAAGTTACAGATGAAAAGCATATTATCAAGGCTTGAATATTAATCCCTTGATAAGGGATGAATGAGGATTTTTTCATTTGATATCGCCCTTGACTCTTCTGCTTTGTGATGTTCTTTTAAGGCTTTGCGCAGTAGCCATTTCCTTAGCCTGTAATCTGGTAAGATCAAACTTGACCATGTCTTCTGCTTTTTTTTCCCAAGTACCGCAGGTTGTTCCACTTGATGTGCCCAAAGACAGCATAGTTTCAGAGGCTATAGGTGAGGAGAGCATACTAATTCTTTTTTAAAGTGTCTATTTAATAATAATTGCAATTTAACAATTTTTTCCCTTTTGGAAATGCCAAAACCCCCAAATCACATTGTTCCAAATTATTTGTCGCTTTTTGGTCCTTTCAAACCAGAAGACTGACTACTTTCCTTTGTACCAGCAAAGGGAGGTGGGAAAAAGATGCATTTTATGATCTTATTTTTCTGTAAGGCTCAATTTCCAATAAGCAATCAAATCATCTAGCTTTTCACTATGCAACATAAGTGTTCTAAGTAATTTAGGTCAAGTTAGTTAATTACTTCTGTCCTGTGCAGTTGGTTGGTACATGAAACAAACTTGTTGCCTTTTTAAGGCTCATTTATGGTCTTGCAGTTGTGATTAGACTTAAAGTTGTGATTTATTAGTATTGAAAAGGAGAAAAACAGTTTAGTAGAGCCATCAGAAAGTTGATTGGGCAAAATAAGCATTTTTGTTTTGTTTGCTGCTTTCATGCTGTCTTCCCCTTAAATATTTATTCGTGTAAATGCACATTTGTAATTTTTGGTGTTCCACTTGATACATGTTCTTCTCCATTGGAAAGTGGTGAGAAAGAGATCAAAAAAGGAAGGAGAAAGACAGGCACTTCTTCTCTAATCTCGTGTGGTTTTTATTCTTTAAAAGCTAAATATCAACAAAAATGTGATCTGAAATAAAAGTGCAAGTAGTGTAGTATCAAGTCAAAACACACATGGAAGAAGCCAAAGTATCATGGGATTGACTGGGAGACCATGAGCAGTGAAGTACAAATGAGCATGAATTAAAACTTTGTAACAGAAAAGATTATTGACACTTACATTGCCACAGGGCATCAGCTTGGTAGGTTCAAAATGGTATTTGACATCCACAAGCATGCTAGACATTGTCTTAATTGTTAAACTGAACCTTGGGCCTGATACTCAGTCTTGTATGTCAATGCTTGTTGGTTTCTAGCTACCGGGGATAACAGACTTACAGGGAAATTATTCTACACCAGTGCACAGAGCAGTTTTTAAATGCCAGTTCCCAAGTGCCGTTGGTCACAGTGTGAGACTGGACCCCAAAATGCAGGGGTAAGATAAAGTATGACTGTTGCTGTGTTCCTTGAAGATTTGTCTATGGCTCATTTTTTTGATAATTTGCATGAGAAGCATTTATGAGGCCTGTCTTTCTAAAGGTCCTAAGCACTGCTCATTGTCACAAAACCATATTATCTATCAGAATCACGTACTCTAGTCATGCAAATACATGAATAAAATAATACTTGGAACAGTTCACTGACAAACAGGCATTGTAAATCTGTGTTAGAGATTATTGTAATGGCAGGAGTTAGAACAGCAAAAATCAAATAATAAACTTACTCTAGAACTCAAGTCTTGCATGCCGTGTTTCAGGCTTTAGTGTATCTTCATGGTTGATTATAGACACCCTAAAAATAGGAGCATATAATGGAAATGCTGACAGATTCTGAACTATCATGATGGTAACAGACACTGCTATAATTAGGCATGCATCTGAGTAGACAGTGTAATATGATTGCTGTGTTTATATGCTGCGCTGGAAGGAATGTTTGTTAATCTGCACAATCCTTTTAAATGAGTTGGGGAGCAAGAGTTTGGAAAAAAGATGCTGAGGTTTATTTCATATTCAGGCTGACGTCCGTGTGTATCAAAAGACAACAAATACTTGCAGGATATTGGATAACTCTGGTTGACTGCATAACATGTTGTTATCTCAGGATTGAGAAAAAAAGCATCAAAATTTACCTGAAAACATCAGGCACTCTACAATTCAGCATCAGCAGGAGAGAACATGTGAAAAGTTTTCTATCTTTATATTATAAACAGAACATGGTTGAAATAGTTTGTATTTCAGTAAGAACTTTTCTTTCCTCCCTTTTTAGGCATTTAAACTCTCCAGTCAAAAAGTCTTTTTCTCTTATTTTCTTTTTGTTGTCAAAATGCTGTTTCTTTTGTAATTTCAGAAGTCAGAGCCCAGCTGTTGCTGAATTTAACTTGCTCCTGAAAGCATATTCTTTGGAAACTTACGGTGTTGATCCTCATCCTTGCAAGGTAACAGTTCTTTTTACTAATATTTAATAAAACGTTCTTTTTACTAACATTCAGTAAAAAGCCATTAATTGGCTAGCTCTGTTTTTTATCCAGGCACAAATAGGGAGTAATTTATAAAAGAACTTGCCCTGAAACTACATATTACTTTTAAGCCTTGGAAGAACATTGGCTGGTTGACATTTCTCCATCAGTCAAACGAAAGGTCTCTCCAGAGGAAGCAGAACATCATGGGAGAATGTAGTAGAGGGTCATGACAAAAGCTTTGATTATACTTTATAATTTCTTTGCATTTAATGCAAAGGTTTCTCCAAATACTCCAGGTCTGAAATATTTTACGTTTGCCAAGATTTTCAGGATTCAGTGTTATTCTTGTCCAGAAGATGCAACAAATTGTTCGTCCTCGGCAGATTAGTTTTCCAAACACTGTCAAAATGTGCAAATCTTAGGAAGCACAGCAAGCCAAATGTACAGAGGGGAGAACCGGACATACATTTGCATATTCCTCCACTTTGCTGTTTTGTGGTTCTCTATAAGAAGGTGATTTTAGTTACCAGTTCTGATTATCCCTTACACCTGCATTTTTAATTACTTGGTTTTATCTGCATAATCTGCAGTGTTTGTTCTTAGTGTTACTTGCTTCATGTTTTAACTGCTGCTTTTACTTTGGCTTGTATACCATCTCATTTGGTGGAACAGCAGTGCTGTCCAGTTAACTGTTCTGGTGGTGAGCACCCTTAAGCAGTCAGCTCAAACGTAGAGCTGCATCAGATTTCATATATACGTTGCTAGGAATGCTGGTCCTGTGTGAAATGCAGGGTCTGGTTCAGAGCTCCGTGAAGTAAGCGACTTAGTAAACTTTAGTTTGAAACTATACTGCAGATTTTCAGAGGGCATCCCAGAGACTTATGTTGGCACTTAGGACAGATTCAAAACTGGCTCAGGATTTCCTCTTTACCCATGTGGCAGGGCTTGTAGAGTGGGGGCATGCAGGGGTTCATGGCCCATGGTTAAGGAAAATTTTTTACTCTTCTGGAAATGAACTGCAAAGCAAGGTGGTTCCCTGGCTCCTTATGTCGTGCTCCTTCCAGCGCTGTGGCTGCTACTCCAGAAGCATCTCTGTTTCTGTTCCCCCTTATTTTATTGGTGGAACATAAGGCACAATAAAGTTGACTAACTTTAGCAAGGTGAGGGTCTAGACCTTAGGACGGACAGGAAATCCAGTTAATACAAAACTCACCTGAATCATTGCTCAAAAACTATGAGCCAGAACTTTTATTGTGGAATTAAAAAATTGAAAAAGGGCTTTCCTATTTTAAAGGCAAGTATCACCATACGTTCTGGTTTGTACTCAGGAGTACTTATTGTAATAAGTGCTGTCTGTCAGCAGTACTTCCAAGACAATATCTTGCAGAGGAACAATGTATTGTGAAATCTTAAAAAATATCAGTGTTGAAGCGGATATGAACCTCTGGTTTGTAGTTAGTCAGCACATTAAGAATGGGACATACACAGAAGTATGTTTTCAACAAAATCAGTAAGTATACCTAAGGATTCCCCGTTGTCATCAGCTACAGGTAGATGGAAACAAAGCATCAGGTACTGTTACTCAGTTAAATGCCTAGAAATAAATGAGGCCTGTATTGCCAAGATCAATCTTTGTTCTTTAGAAGTGTACAATTTGAAGGCAAAATTTATTTCAAAAAGGAAAACAAAATAGAGGTAATCTGTAGTGGAGTAACAATTCATGCTATCACTAAGAAATACCTCACTGGATGAGGGGAAAATTGTATTTCTTTTTTCTCTTTCAAGGACACAACGGGGACGACTACATTTTTAGGATTCACAGCTGCAGGATTTGTAGTTTTCCAGGGGAATAAAAGAATTCATTTGTTAAAATGGTAAGCATGTGAAGTAAGACTAGATTAATATGCAAGAGTCTTTTCTCCTGTGTCTTCTCTTCTTCTTAGTATCTTCACCTGCATTTGTTGTCTTTAACATGTGACTATTCCTTCTCTTGCCCCATCATGTTTCTATTTTAAAGGATCTTAGATGAGAAGTAGAATAATAATAATTTGGTCTGGTTCTTCATCCAGTGAAAATTATTCAACAGGGTGCATTAGTCAACATAATGCACAAATGCTAAAACTGAGTAAGTTGATTTTTCAACTATGCTGTAAATCACCAGTGAGGCTTACTGGCAGAGATGTTTGGAAGATTTTACAAGAGTCCACCTGCATCTTTATTTGTGACTCTTGGAAATGTTGCTATTTTGTCATTTAATTAACCTCAATTTGAAAACTATAAAAGAACTTCTTTGGTAAGCAGAGGAGGAGGGGAGAATGGCTTTGAATTTTTATTTTTTAGCCTCTTATTTTAAGAAGTGGACACTTATGCAATTGTCCTCAGTTTGTCTGGCTTTCCTTTTCTGCTCCTGTAAAACATTTGACTTAATTGGTCAGCCTCACCCACGTTTGAGGGGGAGGTAAAACAGAGCTCCCGCAGGTGGTGTAACAGCAGCTGGCCATGCCCTCAGCAATGTGGTGCTGAGTGAGCACAGTCATGCTCAACCATCGATAAATCTCATTTTAGCCCTGCTGCTAAACATGCCAACAGCAGTTACTGCTGCTCCACCTCAGCGCTCCCAGCCTGTCTTGTCGGGAAGAAGATGGGCAGGAGGTAAAGAAATGGTGAGGTCGTTTTTTGTGTAGAGCTGGACTCTTTGCTGCATATCCATAGAAACCTCCCTGAGAGCTGACTAACCTGAAATCCTCAAAGGCGTAAAGTCAGCGTAGTCCTGTTCGTATGATTCAGTTCTATGTGGAGCTCTGGGGACATGTCAGTCAAATACCATCCATTTGTGATCCTGGATTTGTGCTGTAGTTTCCCTAGGGTTAATTTCAGGTAGCCCTAGTCACAGTGCTTCAGTGGTTTGTGCTTTTGGCATAAGGACGGTGTAACCGTAATGTCAGTCTATGGTGCAGGGAGGAAAGAATAGCACTTGCCGAGCATGTTATCCACCATACTGTGGGAAATGAGTTTCACAGCACTTAGTTTTTCATGTTACTCAAGGATAAGGTGTCCGTTCCAAGATCTCGGTATATTCATTTAGCCCATTGGCATGTAAACCAGATGCAAAATGAAATAGTGATAGAGGAAAAGTCATTAAGCTGTCTCAGTGTTACGCTGGCCATTAGAAGGTCGATCTGGTAAGATTTATCTGAATGCCATGTACTGCTCCTTTCATTTCTGAGACCTAAAAGTGAGTGCTAGTAGCTTTAACTGATAAAAGATGAAATTTGCACTACACAGTAAAAATCCAAATTCATATTTGAGATTTCCTTTTCAATGGAAAAGCTTTCTCAACTGGAATGATTTTTTGCTGTTGTTTAATGTTAAAGCAAAACTCTTGTTATAAAGTTTCTGGGATAGCATTGTTCTTGCCTCCAGAATCGTTCCCATTTCAACCATCTGACATCCAAAATCTTTAGAGAAGTTTATGAAAAAATACAGCGTCTCCATTTTAGCTGTGGTAATGACAAAATTTCCATTACAATTTAAGCAGAGGCATCATATTGACTTTACATGGTGCACCACTATTCCATATGTAGATTGTGCTTCCAACCTTGGTTAAAGTAAATTTTGGCATAGGTTTGCAACTCACAAGGCCCCAGTAATAACTGCTCTCAAACATTTTCTTTCTCTTCCTGTTGTGTTCTGTCTGTAAGCAGTCAGTTACTAAGATGTGTGATAGGAAACCACAAATAAATAAGGATAGAGATAAGATGTTGCTGGTAAAAAGTGCCTGCATCTAGAAAATTATATGCCTTCTTATGCAACAGATGCAGGCTAAGAGTATTGTCTTTCCCTCAGTTGAACTAAATTAGACGTTCCAAGATTTTAAGATATAAGAAGAATTACAAACTGTGTAATAAATAGAATGTAAACATAAGCTTCTGCCTACTTTTAATTTCCTCTTCATTTTCAAGCAGCCAAAGTTAATTCTTTGAAGGTGCATAGGGATGTAAAAGAAATGGGCTTATATTCTCTAAAGAAAATTAGAATATTAGATGATTTTATGCTAAAAGTTGTAAGACTTCTGTTGAGGCTTTTTGTCATTTGACAGCATGCTTGACTTTGGGAATCAGGGAAACTTGCATGCAAGTTGCTTTTCTTACCTGTAGATCTATCTATTTTTCCTATACTTAAATTATTTTTCTCTTTCTAGGTGTGATGTTTATAAACTGAAATTTGAAGGGAAGACTTTTTATGTGTTTGGAGCTCAGAAAGAGGTCAGGTTTAATATTTTTACAGAATTTGCGTATTTGATTTAGTCAACTAAAACTTAACATCGTTTTTTAACTAAACAAACTTCTAAACAATCACTAATTGTACTTCATATTGTAACTGAAATGTAGAATATTAGTGAATGTGAAAATTGCTGCTGTCAAAAGAATGTCTAATTTGCAAAGTGTTGAGACATTTCTCACTCAAAATTCATGCAGTGCTGTGTTGATTGCTCGTGGGTTTGGTCATCTGTGTAGTCAAGTTTTAATGGATTTAAAAATGCTAAAGCTGTACCCACCCACTCTAAAGCATGAGTGACATCTGTATATGATTGAAAATTCAGGTGGGCATTGATACCTGGATCAATGTGAGGTATTTTTGGCTAATTACGATCATCTCCTCAAATCTTGGTCAGCTGAATAGGCTGGAGTCTGTCCTAGGTAGTTAAGAGTCCTATCATTGGGCTCTTGCCATTGAAATCATAGAGATTTTTGCCTACAGCATGCTATAATCAGTTCTTCCTGATTGCAGAGTGATATAACCCAGAATTATGGCTTTGGATGCAATCTAGGTGAGGAATAGAAAATGGAAGAGGGTAATAACGCCAGAGGTATTAGGGGCTGTTTGTGTGGTTGCAAGGAGGATCTGACGCTAGGACATAGGGAACAAGGAGAAGCGGACGGTAAGTAGTGCAGCAACTGTGCAATGTGGAATACTGAACTTTCCTCCTTTGATTTTGGCCTGAAGACAGTTGGTACAGATTTATTCTACAAGCCACTTGTACAGATTTATTCTACAAGCCACTTGTACAGATTTATTCTACAAGCCACTTGTACATGTGTTCTTCTCTGTCCCCTCCAAGCATCCCATTTTATTTCTGAAACAATTGCCTAGGCAGTTTAAAGATCAGCTCTACGTATGGGATGTACTTCTGTGGGTGAACCGCAGATTGAGGCTACACAGGGAAATGTGGTACAGCTACTTCAATCTTCGAGAATTCAACATTTTCATTTCTTTTATTTGCCTTCTTTCCTTGCACTTAGAAAAAGGCTGTGCTGTCATTCCATACCTCTACACCAGCAGCCTGCAAGCATCTTTGGAAATGTGGGGTGGAGAACCAGGCTTTTTACAAGTATGTAAACCTGAAGTCATTACCTATACTAAAAGTAAAAAAATGTGCATGTGAGTAGAAGATTGTTCAATGTGAAATGTTCCATTTCATTAGCAGAATTCAAAATGCAAACAGAAAATACGCAAGTTAATGGGGAATATTATTTCATTTCAAAACAGTATTAGAAATTGTTTAGAATCTGAATGAGGCAGAAGAGTTTTGGCAGTGAATAATTACACTTTTTCCAGCACACTGTTTTTGCCGCTCTGTAGTGTGACGTTGGATGGACACAGTACTGCACTTGTGTCTGGAACACAGTTGTTAATCTTAGCCGTGCTGTTGAACACCTTGAGAATGGAGGAAGCAATCTGTTATGCTTGATTCTCTGGGCTCCTCTGCCAGTAGGTACTGTTCTCCCACTTGAAATCCAAGGTTTAATAAGAGTTGATTGGGAAAAAAAAAAATTCTCTGCAATGATTGAAAAAAAAATAAAAAAAGAAAATGTTCTTAGATACATTTTGAAAGATGCTAGCCATCTCGTTTAAAAAAAACAACTGTAAATTGACAGGAAAAAAGCAGTATCTTCCTTGTTATTCCCTAAAAGAGAACCTGACAATGATTCTTTATTAAAAAGCTCTTATGCATTCTTTCTGCCCTCCATTGACATTGTTACATCTGTTTACTGATGCCCTTTAGGCATGTAGCTTTTATTCTTGCTACTTGGTCTCTCCTTACAGCATCTTGCATATTTTATAAAAAATACTGTTTCTGTGTTGGAGCATTTTTTCAGCGAAGCCACCGAGGCCAAGGGCTCTGGAGCGGAGGATCGCGCCGGGGGACCCTTCCTGAAGCGGCAAAACCCACGAAGGCAAAAGCGCAGGGAGTGAGGGGGTGCCCCAGCCCCCACCCCCGAGCCGGAGGA